AAAAGGAACTGTTTTCATAATTAACTCATAGTGCTCACCACCACAGGATTGTATTGAGGCCAAGAGCCTAGCAGGATTCAAAAAAGGATGAGCCATTTACATGGAAAAGGAGGATGTTCACCATTCCATAGGATAGGATTTTTTAAGAGCTATACATCCTCATGCTTCAGGGCATGAGCCAACCTCTGATTGGGGTCAGGAAGGAACTTCATTGTGGGCAGGTAATTCCACTGTGGGGTTTCTTGCACCTTTCTCTGAAGCTGCTAGTGCTAGTGACTGTTAAAGACAAGATAATGGATTAGAGCAGAGTGCCAGTTCCTATGTTCCTTCTTTGGCCATGTCTAGTAGTAAATTAATGAGAGAGAGAGAGAGTGAGGATTTGAAGAAGCGTGGTAGGAATGACCTTCTGGCTTGTACATTTCAGCGGCAGATTACCAGGACCGGAAGCTGAAGAAATGCTGTGAAGACGGGATGCACGAGAACCCCATGGGGCACAGCTGCGAGAAGCGGGCTGGGTACATCCTGGATACGGATGAATGCAAGAAGACCTTCCTTGACTGCTGCAATTATATCAAGACCATACGGGACAAGCTGCAACGGGAGCTCCCCCTGAAACTTGCAAGAAGCAAGTACCAGGGTTTCAATATCACTCAGAGGAGCAAGACTGGGGGAATTGTTAGAGAAATAAGACCACGCCACATGAACCAACCCTGCTCATGTTCACAGATCTCCCATGGGGGAGATGGGCATGAATGCAGTGGCAGCAATCCTGTTAGTGTTGCACCATGTTGATATGGGGACCCAGATGAGTCAGGGTAATAACCTCTTCACAGGGCACCGCTGAGGTTTAACCTTTGTTTCTAAAGCACAGTCCTCTACCACTTGAGCTAAAGGGGTAACTCCCCTATCTAGGAATAGTAGTAGGCTCTTACCCTTTGCAGAATATCCAGTAGAGGGCGCACATGTAGCACTGAGCCAGTGGCTTATACCAGTGTTATAGGAGCCCGGAAAAGGCTAGCTCTTGGGGGAACAGCAAGGCAGGCATGGAGAGGAGAAGAAGCCTGTGGCTTTCCCTCCAGCCGTTCAACCACACTCCAGTTCCTGCTTTTCTGGGCTGGCAGCATCAAAACTTGGCTACGTTGGTCAAATCACAGATGCTTTCAGATCAGTTCTAGAGGAGGCCAACCCCCGAATCCTTTCAGGTTTGCCCCCATCCCAATCAATGTCACTGCAGAGCCAGACGGTCTGTGATTTGACTTCCCAGGTGAATTGGATGAAGATTTCATGTCCGACGAAGATATCACCTCAAGGAGCCAGTTTCCAGAGAGCTGGTTGTGGCAAGTGGAGCAGCTGACTGAGCGACCAAATGAACTGGGGTAAGAGCCTGTGGCCGTGTCGCTCCCACTCATCAAAGGGCCACATTCAGACGTGGTATGATGTAGCTCCCACTGAAGTCAGTGTCTCTCCACAGCAAGATCCCCCGTGGAGCCGGCTGGAGTATTTGTCATGAATTAGGGCCAGCATTCAGCAGCTGATCCATATTCATAGAGTCACTCCTACTTTTTAAAGCCAGAAGGGGCCATTAGATCATCTAGTCTCACCTCCTGTGTAACAGAGACCAGAGAATTTCATTCAGTTACTCCAGTTTTGAGCCCATATTTAGGTACCTAAAAGAACTGGCCCAACTTCCAGAGGTGCTGGGCAGTGAGCGGTATCCCCTGGCTTCAGCCCTAATGAAAAACCAGGCTGCTGATTTAGGTGCTAGAATAGGATGTAGGTGTCTGGCTGTTTAGCGTTGGCCTTTTATCCTGTTCGGGAACTGTTCCTCATTTGTGTTTGTTATTCTGGGTGTGTTATTGGGTTGCTGATGGTGATATTGATGGTGCTTTCTAATTGGACGGCTGTAACTTTTTTTTTTTTATTAAAAGGTAAATGAAGTGATGGGTCAGGCCCCTCTCCAGTGGAATGGAATATAATTCCCCTGCTTGGAATTAGACTGGGACACTAGAACTAATATCCCTACCCTTGAGACTTTTTAAAACAGGTTGTGTCTTGTGGCTGGTGCAGAACTTGGACCACTGAGTTCCTCCTCAGAGATGGTTCTATATTTCAGTGGTTGGGTGAAGAAGGCTTTACCATGGATATCAGTCCTAAGATAGAAGGTTCTAGACCGGGGCGGGCAAACATTTTGGCCTGAGGGCCACATCGGATTCCCAAAATTGTATGGAGGGCCGGTTAGGGGAGGCTGTGCCTCCCCAAACAGCCAGGCGTGGCCCAGTCCCCACTCCCATCCGACCCCCTCCCCCGCTTCTCACCCCCTGACAGCCCCTTCGGGACTCCTGCCCCATCCAACCCCCGCATTCCCTGTCCCCTTATGCCCGCCCTCCCGGGTCTCCTGCCCCATCCACCCCTCCCTGTGCCCTGGCCTCCCCCGGACTCCCGCCCCTGACTGCCCTATCCAACTGCTCCTCACATTACTGACTGCTCCACCGGAACCCCTGCCCCATCCAACCACCTCTTCTCCCTGACTGCCCTCGGACCCCCTGCCCCTGACTGCCCCCCGCCGCCCCATCCAACCCCCCTCTCCTTCCTGACTGCCCGTCCGAGGACCCCTGCTCCCATTCAACCCCCCTGTTCCCCACCCTCTGACCGCCCCAACCCGTATCCACAACCCCTGCCCCCTGACCACCACCCTAACCTCCCCTGCCCTCTATCCAACCCCTCCTGCTCCCTGCCCCCTTACCGCGCAGACTGGAGCGCTGGTGGCTGGTGGTGCTACAGCCGTGCCGCCCAGATCATCAGGACAGGCAGCCACGCCATATGGCTGAAGCCAGCCACACCACCGCCCAGCACAGAGCACCGGGTCAGGCCGAGGCTCTGCAGCTGCGCTGCCCGGCAAGAGCTCGCAGCCTCGCCACCCAGAGCATTGCGCCGACGGAGCAGTGAGCTGAGGCTGCAGGTGAGGGGTAACAGCAGGGGAGGGGCCGGGGGCTAGCCTCTCAGGCCAAGAGCTTAGGGGCTAGGCAGGAGGGTCCCACGGGCCAGATGTGGCCCGCGGGCTGTAGTTTGCCCACCTTTGGTCTAGACCCTTAGCTGGGGAATGTCCATGAGTCCTAGCTCCTTCCTTCTGTAAAAGACTCTGTCTTTCTCTTTCCATGTAGAATTTCTTCCAAGACGGTGCCTATTTTCCTGAAGGATTCCATCACCACCTGGGAAGTCCTGGCTGTGAGCCTTTCAGAGACCAAAGGTGAGGAACACCACAAGCTCTCCAGAGAACAGGCAGAAAAGCTAATGGGGAAAAGACCCCAGGCCACAATGGGCCTTGGAAACGTCACAGTGAGATGGAACAATCGAAGAGACAACAGACATGTTTCAGGACTAAAGTATAAGCTCCCCCGTCTCTGATCCTGTGTCTTTCCCCATTGCAGGGATCTGTGTGGCTGACCCGTATGAGATAACAGTAATGAAAGATTTTTTCATCGACCTCCGGCTGCCCTACTCTGTAGTGAGGAATGAGCAGGTGGAAATCCGGGCTATTCTCTACAACTATCGGGACCAAACAATTAAGGTAAGTTCACCGCCTCATGGGGCTCTACAATGGACCTGAGGTGTCAATGGTTTGACAGACAGCAAAACCAAAACAAAATGGTGGAAGGCTTGTTCTTCTAGGGCCTGATCCCTTTGGGGCTGGACACCCTGGTCTCCAATTGACCTTGTTGAGTGCTCAGCACCTTGCAGGATCAGGGCTATGGAATCCA